ATTTCGCCCCCTACCGGTCATTTCAGAAACTTGAAAATATTTTGAATCAATTCCTCATCGCCGATTATGTTGGTGGATTTTTTCCTGAAGCTGTAAGGTTTCTGGTTTCCATAATATCGTACCTCGCCGACCTTAGTGAATATCTCCCCCTTCAATGTCCCATTCAAAAATGTTGTTTTTGCATCATAATGTTCACATACATTTTTTGTTTGGCAGCAATTGATAACATCATTCTGAATGTTGCATGTTGAACAACTGGAGTATATACTTCAATGTAGTCCATTCCAAACTGTTGACTGAAACCTTGGGCTACCAAACGTGCCGTATATTTGATTATTTTCCCATCAGTGTCACGTTTCATCGTAAACCAATTTACTACCTTTAGATTTTTTATTTGGTAGCAACAACCAGCTTGCAAGTATTGTTTTCTTCAATTTATTGCATCTCGTATTTCATCGCGTTTATCAAATCAGAGCTGTTTGGACCAATCATCGCTTCTCCATAGGATTCTGGTTCCTTCTGCACATCGACTTCGCAGATCATATCAGAATATTCTGCATATCTCCGGCGGCTTACCAAAATTTGATCTAGTTGATCGTCTCATGAGATCTTATAGTTCGTTTTCCTGTCCCTGTTTCGATTGGATTTCGTTCAGGTTTTCAACACCTTTATTATTTCTGAATCCAGATTGATTGCCATTGTCAGTTTGACCTTTTCAATGGGCGTGTACACCTTAGTAGAAAATTTAACTCAAACCATGTTTATAATGATCCTTTTATACATAAATAATGATTGACGACATATTTCGATCGAAAAATTAACTGGAATGTTTTATTGTTGGACATAAATAATAGTACCTTCTGAAAACGGAATCTCTTGTGACGTAGAAACCTCATCTCGCCATAGTTAAAATAAAATACCAAGAGCCCGACGGAGACTGAGGCAACTGATATATTAATTTTTTCAACTGTGATCTCGCGCTAATTCACTTTTGTAATGTAGCAATCGGGATAAGGGTAGATTGGTAAAACTCGTCACATTTTCTACACCTAATATAATAGCATTTAGTCAGTGTGCCATACACCACAGTAGCTATACGTAATTTGTCCTACATAATTACCTTCTACCTGTTCAGTAATGAATATGCTGAGTCGATTGAATATGTTATTAAACAATATACTTGATTGCAGTACACTCTGTCAGAAATCATATATCATTCATCTCTGTCTGGAATAGTCTTGTTTCAGTAGTAGGGTTTTGACGTCACATCATCGCCTCGTTTTCAGAGGTCCGAAAAATCGGGGATTTCAATAATTTGTTATAAATCGTAGGGAGCTCACAGCAAGAAACGGTTTGCGGTGGTGAGCTAGTTTGGGTGAGTTCAATCGAATTATGAAATAATTTTTTTTTGTGATATCAGCCTATTACTTCATTGGAATTCAAAACTTTCACATACCTGCTAATGGTTATCTTCATGGTGTCAGTATCTAAAATTCGGTAACCTTTGGAATTTTCATTTTATCCGACAAATCTTAATAGAGCAGTTCAGCAGGCGTTGAGAGAGAAACAAAATTACTTCCTTATCTGTCCTGGTCTTTAGTTTTCCAACATAAAATAATGAAAATTGGGTGTTGGCAACACTGGAAATTAAAATAAATAGAGAAGACGAACATTCGAACCTTCTTTATATTGATGTCATTATGTTCTTCTTCTATATTTTTTCCCATTTTCGATGTTTCCAACATAAAGTTTCCATTATTTCACATTGGAATACTGACGACGAGGACAGATGTGGAAAATATTTGTTCTCTTTCAACGTTAGCTAAACTGATCTATCTGATTGCCATTTCATCCAATTTCTTTCGTTCCTCCTTTGGTAGGAAGTATATATATATATATATATATAGAGTGATTATTGAACTTAGGAGTTTCACGACCTGTCAACAATTTCGTTAATTGCGGGGAGTTTTAGCAAACAAAGTAAATCGCTCGCAAATAAATACGGACGACACGGTGGCCGAGAAACTCAGTCATGAAGGCAGTCAAAATTCAGTCATGAAACTCAGTAATTAACTCAGTCGAAGTTCAGTCATTATCTCAGTCCATGAAACTCAGTCATTAAATCAGTCGAAGTTCAGTCTAAGTCAATGAATCCAGTCAATCAGTTTCACGGGACGCTATTTGAGTTGCGTTTCGCGTCTGTCACCCCTTTCCCAGAAGACCCCTGACACATCATCCCCGCGGTAAGCTTGGTAGCAGGACTGTCATTGATGTAAGTACCTATAATATTCGTGTTGCTTGTCAGTTGGCTCTGCAGGCAACTCTCGATAAATCCAGGGATGAGGTTAGGTTGTTACACTTGGTACACTTCACTTGACTTTTAGTTATATTAGTTTGTTTTATACTCGTTTTGATTTGATTCACTTTGTGCACATGCAACTTTCTATTTATTTTCTTAATTAATTAGTGTTAACATTTTCGTTATTCCTCTACGGTCAAATCACCTCTTGCATGCCATTACAACCCCCAATAATCTAAATCTGACAGCTCGGCATATCCCACAAGGGAACGTAGCTGAGGGTGTAGCCTACCGTACCTTACCGTGACGTAAGGTGGAGGCCACAACTTACTCCATTACAGTTCCAAATATCTGAATATCTGATTAATCCCCTGTTTCTTGTTGGACTATATTTCAACGTTGTCGTCATATCAATAGATCTTGCTTCACCCCAATTGCGATTATCAAGATCTGCGTCGAATAACATACAGCGAGCCATTTCCATCAGATTTATATTTTCTACTACTCCATTCTGTTGGGGACAGTTAGGAACAGTATATGGCATAGAAATACCTTCAAGTTTCAAACAATATTTCATATCTTCACATGTATATTCACCACCACGATCAGATCTGAGAGTCTTTGGCTTTTTTCCAAACATAGTTTTTATCATTTCAATAAATTGTTTCGTCTCCTCCAATACTTCTGATTTATTATGAAGTATATATTATATACGAATGTGTCTTTACTGAAATTATCTATGGAGGTAATGAAGTACATTCGCCCTCTAGGTGTTTCTGTTTGCATCGGGCCACAATCATGCGTATGGATTTAGTCTAGTATTTTTCCAGATCCCTGCACTGAAATTTTCGCGAATGGATTCCGATACATTTTCCCCTAAAGCATATTTCACATATAGTATTGCAATCATTGCAGTTGCCAACTTGTATTCCTGTGACCAAATCTTTTTCGCACAAAGATTTCATAGCTTCCACATCACGTTGTCCTAATCTTCTGTGCCATGAATGAATACAGTTCTGAAGAGAATTATTCCCAACTATTGATATATAACTTTTCTTTTCTGACTAAATTTGTATGGATTAGAAGATGCATCTCCAATTGCTACAGGCACTCCATTTCTCATCAAGATACATACATTTACTTTAAACAATATATGGAACCCATATGTGACCAATCTTTCAACATCACATATTTTTTGTTGATCTTTTCCATTGAAATAGATGAAACTGATTATTCTGCTTCCTCTGCCATATGATGATAATTTTATATCATTTGCCACAAATACATTTTCTGTTAGGGAAGAATCTAATTCTGAGAAAAAATATGTATTTTTTGCTATGTGACATGTAGCACTGTTTTCATTCCGATTCTGTTTGGATAAGAAAACCCATTCGCATTCTTCTGTTGCTGATTTCTTGCTCATCAATTTTTTGTATTTCCAGCAGTCCTTTTTAAGATTACCATTTTTATGACAGAATCCGCAGCTTATAGTATAGTACTTCGATCCACAGCTTGATATCTTCATTGCCATTTCTTTGCCTTCCCGATTGTGTCTTTTTCTGGACCATTCATCAATAAATTTCGAATTAACGAAATCGAATGTGAGTTCATCGTCTTTTCGAATTTCCAAGGCAGTGAGTAGATTGTCATATTCCTCAGGCAAGCTGTCTAGTAAGAATGCAACAATCCATTTCCCCGTAAATGATTAATCTCCCATATTTTGAATTGACTCGGCCGTTACTTGATGGAAATCTATGACAAATGTAAAAACTTCACAAACGATAAGATTTCCACAAAACTCAAACACACGACATGTTTCGCTAACACAGTAGCTTCGTCAGGTGATATACTGGTACAATCTCCCATAGCTCTGAGTTTGTCTACATACTCAATCATTTTAGCAATGTGTTTTCCACGTTACCTTCTGTACTCAATTGTCTCATGAAATAGACTCCATTTGAAAGTGTGCTGCTTTCTGAGGCTTTCCCACGCATCTCTTGCTGTTTTTGCAGATTTTATTTGAGTTATCTGGTTGTCTTCAATGAGTAGACCAATATTTGCTTACGCCTGTGCGTCTTCTTTCATTCAGTTTTGCAATCGTAGTTGTGAATTTATCAACCATATTTCATAATGATAAGGCACCGGGCCATGAACCTCTTGGAATACAATAATCATAATGAATATACATACCAAATAAGTATAAAACTAATTTGACTGAATCAATTCATATTTCAAATATATAATGATATATAATAAGAATTTAATATCATCAAACTCGATAATTTTAGAATATAAGTTACTGGCTATAATAAAGGTATTATAATAATCTGCCAAGTAAGTCACATTGGTGGTTTCTTCACATATTTATTTAAGGTAATTCTTTCGGTTGCAGAAAAAATAGCAATAGCAAAGTGTCACTTTTTATTCTAATGATATAATCTACTATTTTCTCGAAAACTGTGACTTCAATCAAAAAAGTGTATCGTGTTTTTCTATCAAATCACATTATTGACGTTTTCAATGTCAAAAATTTCATCGCTTTATGTCATTTCGGCTTTTGTAGGCAGAGCAAATCCGAAAATTTTTAGTAAACAAAAAATATCGCTGTAACACAGGAGAAACCGTAATAATGGTCGATTCTGATTAGTTCTTGAGATCAAGAGTGGAATAATAGATCTAATGCCATTTCCAATAATTCCAGGAGGAAGAAGATCTATCCGAAATCGTCCAGCTGGTCGGCAAAGCGTCCCTGGCCGAGGCCGATAAGATCACCCTTGAAATCGCCAAACTCCTGAAGGAGGATTTCCTGCAACAAAACTCGTACTCGTCCTACGACAGATTCTGCCCTTTCTACAAAACCGTCGGCATGCTAAAGAACATGATCGGCCTTTACGACATGGCCAGACACGCGGTCGAATCGACGGCTCAGTCTGAGAACAAGATCACTTGGAACGTGATCAGGGACTCGATGAGCAATATCCTGTACCAGCTGAGCAGCATGAAGTTCAAGGATCCGGTTAAAGATGGCGAGGCCAAAATCAAGGCCGATTTCGACCAGTTGTACGAAGATATACAGCAGGCCTTCAGAAACCTTGAAGATTAAATAGAGGAGATGTTAATAGTCTAAGCTCCGACTACAAAATTACTAAGTTCATCAAGTATTTGATGAAAATCTTATTCCAACACATCAGGTGACCTGGTACCAATTAACCCCACTGTATCGTTGCTATTTCGAATAGATGTTTCAGATTTGGTACATCTATTTCATGAGTGTATAATTTCGCTAGTATCATAACAAATATGACACTTTCGGTTCAACCGGAAGTCCATAACATTTCATTTTGTTTCAATTTCAAAGTATATTTTTTTCATGAACACTTCGATTGAGCGCAGAATTAATTACCTTTCCAACGATATATCACAATCATACTTTCAATCCACAATATAATCATATGATTGCGATTGTATATGAAAAATAATGTTTGTATTCTCCTTGTAACAGAATACTTACAGGAATGTGTGCTATGGATAATGAAACAATAGCATATGAGTAACAATAATTTGATATCAAAGGTTTTACAAAATTTTGATGCACACTAACTGGTTTTACAATTTTTGATTTCATTTATTTTTCAACCAAGAAACTATTTTATTTCAAATACTATCATATGATTTTTGAACTTGGTTAGAGCCTCCAATACTTATTGAAATACAAAACAGGAAAAAATTTCAAATTTTTGTTTTCTATTCAGTTTGAATGGTGATAATCTCTATGATGAAACTACTCACATTCATGTTGAACCTTTCAACTCTATATTAGTTGGCTATAATACTGAAATTTTCATAAGGGTTTAGAATTATTATTGAAACTGCAAAATCTGAGGCAACAAAATTTTTCATAAAATTGAAATCATATGTGTAGATTGGGATTGAAAGTATGATTGTGATATACTGGGCGGTCCCGAAATTGGGGTGATTGATGAAATGATCTTCAATGAGACATAATGACACGATGATTCACAAGAAAAAATTGTTTTGAAAAATGTTCAAAAAATGTGCGCTCCCTCCATACTACATCTTTCAACTATTATTGAACGTCCGACAACATTGCAAAAGTCATCGTTACTTCCGAGGCTTGTGACCTCGCCGAGAGAAAACGCTTGGGTTGGGTTATTAACCTCTAATCAATGATTTACAAAAGTATCAGGCAAACTTTGAAACTCAATATTTTCCAAAACATTTGTTTTTTGACAAAACAGTATACTTTCATTTCGTTTATTCGTATCATCCATTTCATAGATCACCCCAATCTTGGAAACACCCCGTATCTTTGAAAAGGTAATTTTATACTGATCCGTATTTTCCAGAAGAAATTATACTTTGTATTTTAAATAAGAAAATTGGATGCACTTCCGGTCGAGCCGAAAGTGACATATTTAGGTCTGGTACTAGCGAAATTATAATCATAAAAGCAAATCAATATACCGAATTTGAAACATCCATTCAAAATAACAACGAAGATGCAGAGGGGTAAATGGATTCCAGGTCGCCCAGTATATAAGAATCAAATTTTCATTCAACACTTGATGACCCTAGTAAATATCATCTTGTAGCCTATTCCAAATCCTTCTCAATGTAAGAAATTCATCTGAATCAATTAACATGTTCGCTACTGAGGGTATTTGAGCAACCTCTCATGACAAACCTGAGAGTGATTTGTTTGGTATTGCCATCTACTATTATTAGTTTTGTATTTATTGTCACTGTCACTAAACACCAGATAGAAACGAGGAATTTCAGGTTGAAATAAGACTTCTCTTCTTATATGCATGTGTCCACAAACGCTTTGTTTCGATCTACAGAACGTTGAAACTTCAAGATTTTTCTTTTTTTTATGGCTTTCAGTTTCGGAGATATTCAGATCAAATTTGAGAAATTGCTTACTTTTCACGGTTTACATCATATTGTATGCAGAGTGATTGTTAGGATATACAGGGAGATATTTTTTCATGGGTCAAGCCTTTTCTCCCTGCATAAACTTTCATGTGGTTTGTCACTGGTATATTGTCAAATATGAAATGAGTTCTCTGTTCTGCTTGTGAACTTTTTCATGTCTCAGTTATCCAGAAAAAAATATGTCTTGTTCGTTAGATTCAATTAAAATATTCAACTGAAGGGGGAACCTATTATCACAATGAGAACAAAAAAACGCTACATATTCAGTTTGTGATCTCAATCGAAAGTTTTGAAACATCACCTAAACTAAAGAATGAGAACCTAATGAACCTTGACTTTTTATAAAAGGTGCTGCAAAATAAAAAAATAGAAACTTCAACGCTCTGTAGATTGGGAAAAAAGCGTTTGCGGACACATATTTATAAGGAAAAATAGTCTCATTTTGACCTGAAAAATGATTCTCTATGTACATACCTGCAAAGAAGTATTCATTTAAACATAAAACAATGTAATGTTTGCTTTGCTTCGAAACACGAGATCACGCACCATCTTAATAAACGTAAAATAACAATATACAGGTGCTTCTGATCCTTAGAGCACTTGTCACAGATATGTGCTGTACCTACTTATACCATACAACAATGAACAAAACAATAAACCAAGACCAGATAAATCAGAAACCCAATTAAATTTCTTTGATTTCGCGTCACAAATGTGTGTCAGCGGGCGTACGTGAAAATCCTTCTGTCATATTCACAGTGTCAATCATGAAATTGGCGTCATATGGGACAAACTTTAAATGATGTTATTTCGAAATTTGACTTGAACGTCAAGTTTTGCTTGAAAAAATATAGAAATGGACTACATGGTCGAGACACGTGACTCTCCCTACATGTCAAGTTGATTTTTTTCAAAATACTCCGCTGAAAATAGGCTTAGTTGTTTTAGTTGTTACAGTTTAAAGATAGCCTACTGAGCAAAGTTGTTTCTATACCAACTTTACATATGTGGATCGTATTTGAATGTTGTACCTATTACATTTTTTAGTTTTTGATAATTTTTCAATTATTCATTGAGAAATGTTTGTTATGAATAATAAAGACAATTAACACCGATAAAACTATTTAATTCTAATAGCTTTATCATGCTACTAATTTTCGATTACCAATTATCGACAAAAATGAATTTCTTCAGAAAAAAATACCCCCTTCAAATTTCTATCATGTTTGATGCAAAGCTGTATCGTCTAGCATTCAGGGACGAAATTTATTTCATTGGATTTTTTTCAGTACTTAAATGATGCCAAAGTCACCTATCAAAATATCATCAAACTATTTTATGTATCTAAACAAAGTTTATGACAGTTCTGTACAAGTTAATAAGAAGGAATAAAAAAATATTAAGAACTAAAAGTTGTTGTAGATCTTTCAAATTCGAGACACATGCGTATAATTCGTATAGAATCGACTGTCTCTGTAAACTTTTTTGAAACTCTAATAAGCCCATTTCAGCCATTAATATGAAGAAAAATAGCTTCTGACATGCAGCGGGACTCCATTTACTCCAACCGAGTATGCCATTTTTCATGTTTTTTGAAGCAAACCTTAACCCTAAGTCGAATTTTAAAGTGATTTATTTTTGAAAGTTTTTATCATATGATGCCAATTTTATGAATGACACTGTATGTGACGCCTGTTAGCGAACGTGTTAAGCATGGGCCCCTCACTGTAATATTGACTTGGCCGTACTATAAATGATTAGGATACATTTCATTTCACTATATGATATTATTGTATAAAAATAATAAATCTTGTAAATTATTACCTAGGTATGTGTATAGTTTAGACGTCATTTAGGTGAGGGTAAATGTTGAATGATTATAATTTTTTCCCATCATTCCAATTATTTAAAGATTTTTCTTTTATACCACGTGTTTATGGAGTTTCTGTGCAGTATTATTTGAATTCATTTGAGATAATGATATTGCCTCTTTCTGATTTGTTTTACACATTTTAACTGTTGTATATTATATATTTACATTTTAAAGCTATATCTTCTATTGTACAGTTCATGATATATCTTATGTCATGTAGACTAGAAATTCATGGGATTGTAGCCTCAATTGTAGCATAATATTGTTCTATTTTGAACCTAAATAAATACATAGAATATTATTGTTTCATTTGCCTTTTTTTGTTTTGATAACCACAATACCGGGTGTAAAATTTTTGTATGCATATTTTCCAACAATTTAATACCGGATTATGACATTTCACACCTCTTTACAGAAAAAAGGTGCTCTTGTTCCATTACGATCAGATGTATTATTATAGAGTAAAAGCAATTTAAAAATATTGTTACATCTCAAATATTATGCATAACATATTGCAATAAGGCATAGTGTAAATGGAAAAAAAAATGTACAAAAATTTAAGTAGTTTTTTCATCATTTTCCTATTTTTCGCGCTTTTATGAGATTGTTTGGTAAGAATAAAGTAAAGAATGGTACATTTGATCGATGCGGAACAAGATCCAGTACCGTTCTTTGTGAAGCGGTGTGGATTTTCATAGTGCGAGATTGCATTGTCAAAAAATATGCATACGAAAAAGTTTGAGCAATATTTAATGTAGTCGCCCACTCTGTATCATACACTCCTGAATATATAACTTTGAAATGATTTTATGTTCATCGCATTGGACATAGAAAGTTCAGTTCTTGTACCAAATTGCATCATTTTATCACTTGGCGTTTCGAAAATATTCGAGAAATATCATCTTCAGGAGCCCCCTCTTAGGGGTCCGTAGCTCCCTTAAGGGACATTTCTCGATTTATATTCATCGGAACTTTTCTTCCCATTTTTCGTTTCAGAAGCCGCTGATGGTGAAGTTTGGCAGGCTAATTTCGGGACACCCTATATAGAAAACCATAGGTGGGCCGAATTTGAAAATTTGGTAGTTTACTATTGTTGATAAGTGCTATCCGGCTAAAATATTTTGAAGATTGTGGAACTTCCTGTTGTACCGGAAGTGAACCCCAACTTCGTTATTTGAAATGGAACACCCTGTATTTTATTGCATTTTTAAATCCTTACTGAAGAGCTGATTTCATCAATGCATCACAATTGGGGTTTATCAGGAATGATTATAGAGATATAGGGTTTCAAAATCAAGATTTTTCACTTTCAAGATTTTTTTGTGTCGAAACAATTTATCGATCAAAACGGCTTACATGTCCCTATCTTAACTTTTATAACTTTTAGGACAGCATCTTCTCAATAGTTTCTTCCACTCTGCTGCTCTATGTGTCACAGGTATTGAATAAGGCTTGATAAAAAACTCTGAAGTATCCTTTACTACCATTTCTTGCTCATACTCACTGGTCATTTCAGGAATATTTGAAAAGATGTCGGTGTATTTGTTCAAGATTTTCAGAAAGTATTTTCTGTCACTGGAAGAATTTACAGTTCGTCTTGGAGGTGCTGTAAATGGAAGATTTTCTGTCCCATATGTACTCTGCCAGCTGATGTAGTGAATTAAATTATTTGTCTTTCCCCTTATATCATTCACATTTTCAGACACAGCTCCATGACTGTTTTAATTTCCACCAGTTTGACCATCAGTAAAATTTGGAAAATTCATACCTGGAATGTCTCATGTCACGTTATTTTTACCTCTATTCTGCCTCTACTTTCATCATTATGTAAGCTCTCATAATCCAATCGCCAACTAGACCGTAAATTCTATGGAGTTGGTTTTTCTATCTTCTCCAGAAAGGAATATATCAGCTCCACTATTTGAGCGCCAAGTTGTGCTGTAACAGCAGGGTCGTGGTGTATAGCTGAGAAAGTGGCCAGAAAATAATTCACACCCAGTCTAGCAAATTGAATTGGGTAATTTATAGCAGTAAACCGATTTGAGATTATTGGCAAGTCACCTCCAACATTAATTTTGAATCTAAAAAGAGTAATACGACACAACCCCTTAGGGGCTCACGACTTGTGAGTACGGGAATGGCAATCCCGAGGTACCCTAGCCGGATACTATCATTA